TTAGTGAGTGTTGAAGTTAGGGCTCCTGGCATTCATCTGCTTTGCTCTAAGGGAAAATAAGCCACTGCAGTGCCAAGTGTTGGGATCTGATGACAACACAGCCTTGGGTCCCCTGGTCTCAGGTGTGACACAAACATGGGTGTCTTTGTGGTATGATATGGCCACTATGTTCAACCTTTAATTGCTGAAAGATGTCATTTTCCCCAGTTATTTTGTGTTTACTCTTGACATCTCCCCGAGGACTCATGGAAGCTGGCCCAGGACCCGGTGCTGTTTCTGTCAGGTTTTAGGCTCATGGAGGTGTGTTCACTTCCATCCTTCCTGTGCGCCCCCACTCCCCATCTTTGTCTTCCTTGTGGGGCCTTTCAAGGGCTCTATTCACAGGCCAGGAATTACCAGGCAGCCACAGCACTGGACCATGTCATCCTTGCTTCTCATGCCTCAGTTTTCCTGTCAGTGAACATGAGCACATCAGAGGGTCTGCACATTCCTTCCTGTCTGGCACCCTGGATCCACAGGCCCCTCCCAAATTGGCCTTGCTGGAGGCCTTTCATGTGCAGAGCAGCCCAATCCCAAGCCTTATCTCAACCACCTTCTACCTCACCTAACTCTCACCCTGCCTTACTCTCCCCAGGCTGTCCCCTCCCTCCTTCTGCTCACTGACAACCTGGGTGGTTCTAATGGGGTCCTGTTCGACACAGAATGGAGCACCCCTTGGTCTTGGGAAATGAAATCTCAAGGATGCTTTTGAAGCAGTTGCTATAAAACCATTTTGGAAGAATGTTAAGGGGAGTTGAGTGACCAGCAGGACAACTACCAATCCACCATCAAACTCAAGCAGGCAATAGTAGAGGGCAGCCGGTGCTGCAAAATGAATTTGCGCCTTAATGTAGCTTTGACATATGTTAATATGTGATCAGTCTTTATTAATCCCCACCTTTGCCTCCCCCCAAATCCTACACATCACCCCACATTATACATAAATCCTTCAGCTCTGGCATCTGAGAGTGTTTCAGCCAGCACCACCATGATAGCATTATCAAACTGATGACAGAGACATCATTTCCCAGCCTGGGCTCAGTTTGCCCTTGTTTCAAAAACATCCTTTTATCACAAGCTGATTTGTTCCAATCAGGATACAAATGAGGTGGACGTATGTTCCTATTGTCCTGCAGAACATGAACTTATGGAGGGTACGACGTGATAACACGGAGACCCACTGCCATTGAAGGAAGCTTACCACTCACAATCCCAGGACCAAGGGGTGCTCCATTCTGTGCCGAGCAGGACCCCAGTGGCAGCACCCAGGCTGTCAGTGGGCAGAAGGAGGGAGGGGACAGCCTGGCCTTCAGCCTTGATTGTGGTTTTAGAGGAAGGAAAGGATGAAGCTGGTTAAGCAGACTGTCAGGCTTAGCATCAGGTAGTTTGAATAGTGTCCCTAGGGCCTGGGCTTTGTGGTTGGGCTGTATTTATCTGGCCTGGAGAGAGTGAGGGCCGTCTGTCAGCAGACCTGGCAGGTGGCTGGATGTGGATTGGGGATGGGCTGGTTTGCAAATGAAAGGCCAGTTGTTTATGGTCTCTAGGAATTATCTGGCTCTGCGATTTCCTTTTTAATTTTTTTTTTTTTTTTTTTTTTTTTGAGACAGAGCCTCAAGCTGTCCCCCTGGGCAGAGTGCCGTGGCATTACAGCTCATAGCAACCTCCAACTCCTGGGCTCAAGCGAGTCTCTTGCCTCTGCCTCCCAAGTAGCTGGGACCACAGGCGCCCGCCACAACGCCCGGCTATTTTTTGGTTGCAGCCGTCATTGTTGTTTTGGCGGGTCTGGGCTGGGGATTTGAACCCGCCACCTTAGGTGTACGTGGCTGGCGCCTTAGCCGGTTTCCTTTTTAATTTTTAACCTTCCCCTTTTGTCCTTCATCCTCTGGGTGTTGAGGTTCCTCATTTCCTGTGAACTTGTCTGTTTGGGGGCCTGTTTGCTTTTTGAAACCCCTGCCCCAGATGGCAGGGTCCTCCCACTGCCCCTCCCCAGCATGTGGGCTCTGGCCGCCTTTTCTTCTTGCCTGCTCCAGGCTGCTGGTCACTAACGTCCCATCAGTGTTGCTCCCAAACAGTTTAAAGCAGCTGCTCCTAAAGCATTCTTGGGATTTCATGTCTCATTTGGGCTTAATTTCATTATTTCTTCTCCTCATGTCTTTTTTTTTTTTAAGGATATTTACATATCAGCTATTTGGTTATCCCTACAAATAAAAAATGCTGGACTATTTTCATTTATTTGTCAATTTTCAAAATAATGAATTAGTATCTTGTGTGAACTCATAGATTTAAAAAAAAAATGATGTGTTTTGATCCATTGCCATTTTTTTATTTTTGGTGCTTGCATTTCCCATTTTGGCAAATGGGAGCCCATTTAGGTTGGCTCCTGTTTCTTTGGATGAGGCCCATCACCTCTGGGCAGCATCATCAGGCTCACAATTTTTCCAAAGGCCTCATTTCTTTTGGTGAGAAGTGGTTTTTCAAGCCCACAACCTGGTTGTGTTTGTTTCTGGGTCTTTTTAGGGCACAGAGATAGAAGGGTTTTTTTTATTTTAGTGGTGTTTTTTGTTTTTTTTGTTTTTTTTTTTTAGAAAAAGAAAGAAAAAATGTAAGTTTATATTGGTATTTCCAATTCACTTAACTTCACTCTTTTGATCTTTATATTGGTGTCTGTTCCATGATGCTAAAAATCGTAATGACAGTAATATTGTCTATTTCATCCTTCTATATATAGTAGATTCAAAATAACATTGTAAATATTATTAATATTATTATCAACAATAAGACTACTGACTGTCCTTTAAGATCACTTTGTGGTTATTTTTGGTTTGGCGTATACTATGTATCCTACCCAGGTGTACAGTCAGCTACGCACTTTCTCGTCATAATCCTCCACCTGGTCGTGAAGCCAGAGTGGTGCCAGCTAGGATTATTTCATTTTCACTTTGGTGCCAGCTAGGATTATTTCATTTTCACTTTGGTCTTTTAGGCATCACTGTTTTTAATTCAGTTTTTCTTCTTAGGTACATAAGATATTTGGGTGGTTCAGTTCCACAGTGAAAAATCTTAAGTAGAGATTTGCTGAGTGACCCCATCCCTGCCCTGCTATGTCCTAGCACGGTGCCTTGCTGCGGTGGCTTTGCCCCTCTGCTGATGCTTTTTGTTACTTTTTGGTAGCAGGAGCAGTGCACGTGTGACACTGACAGGGCCTCCTCCCAGTCCTTTCTGGGGCACAGAGACTTCTAGGTGGAGTAGACTTGCTGTCTCTGCTGACGGACAGCCGTCTGCGGAGTTCTTATTCGCTCTTTCGCCCTTTCTGTACCTTCCCCTATAGTTGGAAGCATTGTAAAACAAAGACCTCTCCTTTTCATTTACATTTTCATATATTCTGTGCTTAACAGAGTGGCTGGCACGTTCTGGAGCTCCATAAAAGGAACTGTGGGAGAATTAATTATGAAAGTTGGACCTGGAATTCTCCCTGCCTTCACCTCTGTGGATGCAGCGTGGTAGCTGTCCATACTCTGCTGCGTAGAAATAGAGTTTTCTAAAATTTTCTATTTCTTTCTTTTTTTTCAGTTTTTGGCCGGGGCTGGATTTGAACCCGCCATCCCCAGTATATGGGGCTGGTGCCCTACTCCTTGAGCCACAGGCACCACCCTAAAATTTCTTATTTCTTTAGGAATAGAGTAGCCAAACAGTCAATCTTACAAAGTTAATAGGACTTGGCCAGTTTGGGTTTTGAATAGTCACTTATGGGAAAAAACTGGACTTATTCAGGCTTTCCCTCCCCACCTTGTCCTCCTGCTAGGAAGGGGGTGCTCCCAGGTCCTGGGACATACCCGCCTTCTCCCAGTGGGAGCAGGGTGGGGTCCCTGCATCGTCCTCTGGCCTTCCTGGACTGTGGTGTTTTGCAGCTGTGTCTAGAGGAGCCTGGACATTTAGAACTCTGGAATTGGCAGTGGTTCTTCATGACGAGGGCGGGCATTGTGTCCAGGTCATCTTCTCAGGCAGTGTCATGCCTGTGTGAGGCGATTCCCTTCATAGGTGTCCTTGCAAGCAGTGCGGATGAATGCAGGAGCGGATGAATGGAATCCGCTGTGTGCCCTGGAGACGGAGTTGAGTCGACTTGCAGAAGTGGAGCACGATGTGCTCCCCCCTCACTGTCTTTTGTTTAGAATAATGTTATAAAATGTTATTTCTGATAACACACAATGGATACTGTTATTTTTAAATGTATTCATACATTTAAAGTTTCTTAACTGTTGCAAGTGTCAATAGGGATAAGCCATCTACATGTACATTTTTTTGTGAGGTCCTCAGTTATTTCAAGATGGGAAGGGGTCCTGAAAGGAAACGTGTTAGAACTGCTGTGTCAATGCTTTCCTTCAAACAGCAGTCACAGCAGAATCCCAGCCGACAGGTGCAGATCCTAGCAGTGCAGCATCACGCACTTAATTCTCTCCATCTCTCTGTGACCTGAGAAGTGGGTGCTGCAGACTTGAGCCAGTGCACATTCAGAGCAGTCCTGCCTTCTGGGAGTGTGCCCTGTGGGTGGGAAGGCAGGATCCCCAGGGACATCCAGAGGGGCGACAGCCACCCTTCCTGGGAGAAGCGGCTTTGGGGGCATCTAGCACTTTCGAGAAGGCTGTCCAGGGGAGGTGCTGTTTGATTCAGGGGTTTGGAGAAGACTCCCCTTGGGTGCACTTTGAAGGATTGACATGTAGAGGGCAAAAGAGGCCCTCAGTAAGGCGAGCAGGAGGGTGGGAGACATCAGTGTGACCCTGGTCTCAGCCCTGGAGGCTGTGCTGATCCCTTGAGGGCATGGCCTGGGCAGGCACATGGCTGTGCTGGTGCGTGTGTCATACGAGTGCTCTCTGGTCACCAGCATCTAGAGACAGTGAAGAAGGCAGGGGTGTCTGGGGACACTGTGGTGCTGTCTCTAATGGTGCCTTTGCTCTATCCTGAAGGAGAACCACTGTCGCCGCATCAAGATCCTCGGGGACTGTTACTACTGTGTGTCAGGCCTCACCCAACCCAAGACCGACCACGCCCACTGCTGTGTGGAGATGGGGCTGGACATGATCGACACCATCACGTAAGTGCCCTGTGGGGCCAGAGGTGTGGCCTGTGCATCCATGGGCCAAGTGGTAGAGACTGAGCCACCATCTGCCCCAGGTGGGCTCCCCAGAAGAGCCTGCTTTGTCCTGGGGTGGGGGGGGGGGTCTGTCCAAGGTTGCAGACAAGGAAGGTGCTCCCGAAAGATGATTCCATGGTCCCTCTCCTTTACATTTTGTGTGTGACTATTTCTTTGTCTACAGGAAACCCATGTCAGATTCGCATGAGTCGTTTAGAAAAAGAAATTACCTTTATAGCTTAGTGGGATAAGACATTCAGAAAGGATTGGCCCTAATCCAGCTAAATTCCATTTAAAATGGAGTTTGTTTTTCCTCCAGGCAGGGGATGGATCTCGTGTGTCTGAGGGGGGAGAGAGGGTTCAGATAAGGCAGGATCGTGCCCCTGTGTGGCCTGGCCTGCCTGTGACTTGGTCCTTACTATCTTGTTGTCCTCCTGATCAGAGACTGGGGTGATGGCATAAATGTCTTTGTCAAGTTAGACATTGGAGCTGGAGGCTTAGCTGATGTATGAAGTATAGATCCAAGTTCAAACAAGTGTGGAGGGATGAACACACTCCAGTGAGATACCTTAACAGGAACTGGTGTATTGTTTCATATTCAGAGCAGAAAAGTAACAGCTCACAGACTGTGTAAGGGAGACGTGATAAAGTTGCTGCCGGGTGATAGGATGCACATACCCCAATAAGCAGGCTGCAGAGATGGGGCAAGGCCACTGGCTCCCTGCGCCATACTGCATCACACCACGGAGGGCTGGGGCATGCCCTGTACCTGCTGACCCTGTGACCACATCAGGAGGGATCCTGCCAGCAACCTGGGGGGGCGAGTCCAGTGCTGTTACCTGTATGTTGGGGACACATGGCTGTTCATCAGGTATGCCACCCAGAATCACAGTCCTGATGGCTACTCCACAAGGTGGCTGGTGCAGGATGTAGTCTAGAATTGAGAGTAGGCAGTTCCTCCAGGTGACTTCAATATATAACCAGATGTGGGAATCAGTACCCTAGAGAAAGCAGCCCAGCTGGTGGAGGTGCTGAGGAGAGGAAGGAAGGAAGGCTAGAGAGAGATCTGGCTTGGAGAGGCGCTAGACAGAGACCAGGAGTGTGTTCTTTTCTCTGAAAGGATGTCACATCATAGGCCACTTTGTAACAAACATCATGTATGTCATACATTGTATCTCAGGTTACACTATGTCAACTCACATCACATATCACATCGTGTATCATGTCAGCTCACCTCATATGTTATGTCCCATCATATCTAATATGTTAAACATCATATCACATCATATGTCATGTATCATATCACATATTTTATGACATTATATCATGTATGTGTACATCATATATCACACTATGCTATGTCACATATCACATTCTATCTGTGTGTATGTTTCATATATCATATCACATCTTGCTTTGTGTGACCTTGGGGTAAAGTGAGGTTCTATAGGTGGAGGTTATAAGGAGATAGATGTCAGTCCATTTATTTAGTGAAGGTTTATGTTGCTACCAGCACAGACACAGGCAGAGTTGAGCGGTGCTGGCCGACCCGGCTGACAGGCAGCTCATGGAGTTGAACCAGATGTCCTGGTGCTCCTGAAGGTCTATGATCTGCCTGTACTGGCCTGGGGCCCCCCTGAGAGGGGCCTGGGGCTCTATCAGCCCCAGGCCTTCCCACCTGGTGGCTCAGGGCCCTGTAGTCACCCTGTCTGTCATGTTTCTGTTCCTCTTTTTGTCTGGGAGCCAGACCTGCTAAAAAATGTAAGGATGGGCCTTTCTTCAGGGGAGGCCCTGCCTGTGTACACAAAGCTCCTGAATCTTGTATATTCCAGGTCAAGAACCTCCATTTTTACAGATGGGGAAACTGAGGCCCAGGAGGGGAAATGAGGAGCCCAAGTTAAGGTTATAAGTTTGAGTGTGTGAGGATTGCTCTGCCCTTCTCACTGTGCCGGGATGGGGGTGGGGTTGCTGTGGACAGCTGTGTTGTTGTTGCTTCTGGAAACTCCTCCTGGGTGAGTTGGTTTTCCCTGCCACGTGCCTGGCTATGGCTGTAGATCTTAGAATAATGGCTAGGGTGAGGGAGCTCAGTAGATGTTCCTGAGCAAATGAACACATGTGTACTTATCCATTCTTTCACCTTTGAGCTTCGGTGTAGGCATGGTTAGGGTTCAGCTTTTTGGAATTTATTTGTGCCATGGGGCTGACAGTGCCCCTCTGCCATGGGGTGGGCCACTGCCTTGTGTCCTTCCTGCTGGCGGCCAGCACAGAGGGCCCAGGTCAGGGCTGCAGTTGGGGGGCGGGGGGGTGAGTGTCAGACTTTCCTCTGGCATAACATACACTTGAGGTAAATAAGTGAACCTGGGAGTACAAATAAGGGGAAAACGGGATAAATAACACCAAAAAGGGCTGTGGAAATAGTCATCTTTGGAGATGAAGTGGAAGGTTCTGTTGGATTTAGGCAAAGCCAGCTTGGGCATCCCAGGAGTCATTGCCATGAAAAGGGTTCTGGATGGGGCAGCGCCTGTGGCTCAAAGGAGTAGGGTGCTGGCCCCATATACCAGAGGTGGTGGGTTCAAACCCAGCCCCTGCCAAAAACTGCAAAAAAAAAAAAAAAAAAAGTTCTGATGCATAATTGATTTAGAAGGAGTTGTCCAGTTAACTGCAGATCTGAAGACACCAGAATCGAGATGTCTGAGGCAGAACCAACTGGGAAAGATTGACAATGAACAGAACTGATAGAAAGTGCCAGCCAGCAGCTGTGGTGTGTCTGCGTGGATTTGGGTAGAGGCTGGTGAGGTGCTGCTTTCCCAGAGCCAGAAGGTTTGCAGTGGGGGGCTTGAGGGGATCTGGGGACAGAGGTGGTCAAGGGTCCCAGAAGTCCGTGACTGCAGAGGTATAAATGTTAAAAGTGCACAAAAACACCATTTGCAAGTATTCCTTGTCTACATTTTCCCATATTGATTTCCTTGTATAAATTTTGAAAAAAAAATTAACTTTAGTGTTTTGTTTCAGTGCCTCTAACTGGAGATCAGCAAGTGGCAGGAAAAAAGTTAGAATAAAAAAAGCACATTAAAATGAATAAAACTAAGTATTGAAGATATACCAATAATTTAACTTCCAAATAACTTTTTTCAATCCTTCTGAGGTTGCTGAAGCTGGACACATACCAGGGTCTCCAACTTGGATGTATGTGATGCTAATAGAGTCTTGCTGAGAGGCTGGGCAGGCAGTGGTCTCAGACAAGCTCCCGGCGTCTCTGTGTGCTGTGGTTTTGGGGGACAGGCTCTCATGCAGAAGACTGGGTCACGTCAGCAGAGCTGCTTCTGTGTGAAGACCAGCCTGGGAGCCAAGCAGGTGCTCCTGCCTGGGCTGCAGCTCTAAGAAGGGGGCCAGGTGGGAATGGGGTGGGCAGTCTGCAAAGGAAGGTGAGAATGAAGGTCGGCCAGACACTGTGCTCTCAGGCGGTAGGTTCAGCCCAACCTTTGCACATACCACGTGATCACTGACAAATGCCATATACAGAGACCTCAGGAATGGGACTGTAAGCAGGATTGAGGGCACAGTGAGGTCTGAACTAGCTGTCTGTTGTCACCACCTGATGGTGACAGGGTGTGAGTATTTTCATGTTTGATGAAATAGAAGGAGCAAGAGGTTGGCCTACTCGCTTAAGCAGTGGGGTGCACTGGAATAGAGATCAAATGATTTCAGAGACTGTCAGAGCTAACTTAGCTGGCCCAGGTTTACACAGGAGGAAACGGGGCTCAAATAGTCACTGGTGTGTCTATTTGGAGCCAGCCAGTCTGGCTCCAAAGTTCTGTCTTCTCTCAGCACCTGCTCTGTCTTTGCTTCCCCTTCCTGGGGCCCCTGCCCATGCTCTGTCATCCCTACCTGGCTCCTTGCCTAAGCCCCTCTTATAACCAACCTTACATCTGGATGAGGCTCTAATCCTTCACCCTGAGAATGGGACAGGTGCACCAAGGCCAGAGGCTGAGTCTGAGTCAAGAAGCAGGTGGGGAAACAGCTTGGGTTTGGGCTGTGGATCCTATCCCTGGTGGGTTGTCACCTTCCTGTGGCCAGCAGGCCAGTGTGGACACTTCTGATGGGGCAGGGCTACACAGAGCCTTTGTTACTCCAAACTAGCTTTATACCACCCTCCAAGGACAGTGGTGACCAGACCCTTGTGGGATTTGGAGGTCCTAACTCAATTCCCATTAGAGCTGCCCTGCATTGGAAGGGGACTTACAAGCTGGTGCAGCCAGGAACCACCCTGCCTGCCTGGGGCCACCAGCTCAAGGTGGCACAGGAAGGTGCTGCCATCCACTGACTAGGCCAGGAGCCCTCCCACGTGGGCAACATGCAGTGGGAACAAGCCTAGCTCCCTGATGCTCACAGACTAGCAGTGCAGACCCTGGCAGCCTGATGGCCGGGGTGCCAGGTGGGCCCCACCCCCATCTTCTGTGCCTGTGTTGCAGGTCTGTAGCTGAGGCCACTGAAGTGGATTTGAACATGCGTGTGGGTCTGCACACGGGCAGGGTCCTCTGTGGCGTCCTGGGCCTGCGCAAATGGCAATATGATGTGTGGTCCAACGATGTGACCTTGGCCAATGTGATGGAAGCTGCGGGCCTACCGGGGTAAGTCAGGGATGGGGCTGAGGGTGGAGGTACATGGTGGGTGTGTGCCCTTGGCCTGAGTCTGCACTGCAGACTCAGGTGCATAGGATTCCAATTTAACTCTCAGCACCAGGACCACAGAGGAGCCTGCTTATCCCAGCTGCACCTGCAGGGGGTCCTGTCCAGCCTACTTGTCCCAACTGCACCTGGTGGGGGTCCTGCCCGGCCTTGCTGCTGCCCTGAGCTGAGCTGGGCATTTTGCCTCCCTGAGCCTGGTGTGTGTCTGCAGAAAGCCAGCAGTGGACGAGAAGCCCAGAGGCAGGTGCACGTGAAGGCCTTGCCAGGGGCATGGTGCCCTCCTCACAGCTTATTATGGCTTCTGTGTTTTGCTTTTTGGCTTCCTTTTCTCAAATGTGCAAAGTGCTATAACTTTAGAGCCCTCTTCCCCCAGCTCTGCTCCCCAATGGTGAGGGCTCAGATCTGGAGCTCGCAGATGTCTGGGTCACAGACAATTAGGTCTTAGAGCTGGCTTAGAAATGCCAAGAGCTGTCAGTGACCACACACTGTGGCAACCTTGGCTGTATTGTCAAGGACAATTTCCAGCACATACCTCTACTGACCTCAAGTCTTGTGAGTCCTGTAATCTCTCTTTTCTGGAAATTCATGGCAGCTACCCAGAGCAGGAAGCTTCACTAGAGTGCTGGCTGCCCCTCGGCATGCTCAGGGTGCAGCATAAAGCAAGGATGTCAGTAAGAGCTGATGTCTTCCTCTGCCTGTCACCTCTGCAAGGCTGAGTTACACAGCTGTCCATCTCCATTGGTGCAGGAATAAATGAGGCACCAATTGAATACAGAAATGGACACATGCCTCTCTGGAGAGTGTTGGTGTTTGGAAGTGTCCAGACAGCCTGGGCAGCCTTTGCAATTCACCCAGACTGATGGGGTGATAGTGTGTCAGGCATCCCCAGGGCCTCCCGGGGGAGGCAGCCAGTGGTGAGGGCCGAGGCTTGCTCTGAGTGAGTGCTAATAGGAGCCTCTGACTGGGGCCCCCAGCGAGCATCCCAGTGAGGACTGGCCTCTGCACTGATGGCAAGAAATGACTCCTGTGGAAGGGACAGTGCAGGGACAGGCCCCCAGCCATGGTGAGGGCCTGGAGCGTCTGTGTTTCTCCCCCTGGGCCCTTCGTGGTTTCATCACTTCCTGGCCTGGCAGTCCCCTCCTGTCCCCTCCTGTCCCCCCACCCTGCCCCCCATCTATCCCCTGCTCTGAGGATCGTAACTGAGTCTGCTCTGGGAAGGGCCCCAAAAACCACCAGAGCCCCTCCCTTGTCCCCTCCAGATCACAGTGAGTTTGGGGGCTCTGCCTTCAGTCTGTCCTCCACCTGCTTCCTGGTTTCCTCCTCCGCCAGCCTTAGAGTTTAATTTTGAATCCAGGGCTTTCCCCTGCAAGGAGCTCAGAACACTGCAGTGAAGGGCAGATTTGGGGGTGCATTCAAATGGTTTCGAATACTGGGGAGCTTGCTTCTCCTCTTACCAGCCCATGTGCTCTGCTAAGGAGCAGAGCTGAGGGTGAGAGATCCGTTATGTCACATTGGCATTTTCTGCTGAGATGACGCTCACTCTGAAGGGTTTTCCTGCCCTCACCAGGAGACTAGCTTGGGGAGGAGTGAATGCCAACCCCCCAAACGCATCTGTCACTGCCCTTTCCCCACCCCACCTTGTGTGTGGCCTGACTTCTGGCTGCCTGGTGGGTCTGCCCACTGCCTCTGCTGACCAGAGCAGACCTCAACTGTCTGGGGAGGGTTCCTGTTTCTCTTGCTCACCTCACTGCCACGTTTTCTTTTCTTATCTTCCGTGATAGATTTGTGTGATGTGTTTCTTTGTCTTGTTCAGTTCCTCTGTTCCCCTCTGGCCCTGTGTTCTCCCTTCCTCAGCCGACTCTGCTCTCCCTGCTGCTCTGGCCTGCCCCTGTCCACCAGGACTCTCCCTGCTGGAAGGGCAGACTTCCCTAGATGGTGAATGCCCCTGGGGGAGCCTGCCCAGGGGCCGGGATGCCTCTGTCTGTGTTCCGATGGTGAGGACGAGGCAGGTCACCACTCAGCCTCCTATCTGCCTCCTTCTTTTTGCAGGAAGGTTCACATCACAAAGACGACCCTGGCGTGCTTGAATGGGGACTATGAGGTAGAACCAGGCTATGGGCATGAGAGGAACAGTTTCCTGAAAACTCATAATATCGAGACCTTTTTTATTGTGCCATCCCATCGCAGAAAGGTAGGTGTCAGAAGCAGCTGTGTGGGGCTGATCCTTAGCTGCTGGCCTGAGCAAAGCTGTGAAGGTGGAGCAGTTCCTTCCTTTCCCGTCACTGCTGCCCTGGGCTCTGAGCTTGCTAAGACAGGGAGGGGTGTCCTGCTCATGTTGTCCTGGGCCTTGCCTCTTACCGGTGTGGGGAGGAGACTCAGCGAGGAAGGGTAGGGTCCAGGAGTCCCTAGTCAGAGATCTGGGGTCCCCTCACAGCTGGGCCATCCTGTGTCCTCCTCCTCACCCCCATGCCTTCACTGCCTCCCTTGCAAAGTGGGCATGAAAACTGGCAGGGGGCGTATGGCGAGGGACTGTGACCTGAGGGGTGCTGGGCACACAGTGGGCCATGGTCATTCTATATGTGGCATTTTATTTGGGGTCACCTTGCCTAGAGAAAAGCGATCTGGACCTGATCAAGAGTGACCAAGCTGCTTCTAGGACTCAGAAGCAAGTGAGGGTTCAGGTGAGGGGTTCAGGGATCAGGGGAGGTTGTAGATTAAGGTAAGAATGCATAGCCCAGGGAAGCCCAGGGCTATTTCCTGTGTTCCTTTCTCCTCCCCTTTTTCAGATTAATATGTGGGTACAAACAATTAGGTGGGTGTTAGGTAAAGTTTGAGTTGTAGTTGAGCCCTTCACCCAAGAGATGCACCAGGTACCCTACATTGTACTTCTCAGGTGGGGGCCTCCCAAACCCCTTCCTCCCACTTGAATTTAATTGTGTTTTTTACTTGAGAGGGTGTGTAGTTAGTTGTTCATCTACGAGTTTCATAATAATGAGTTGAAGGGCTGGAAAACAGTGTTTCAGACAAGTGGAAATCAGAAAAAAGCAGGAATCACCATCTACGTGTTGGTTCTTTTTAAAGAAACAATTTACGGGAGTAAGCCTCAGGGTGCTGGTGGACACTGGCTTCCAGGCTGGGTCACACTGACACGGACAGTGGTTCATCTGGGCCTGGGGTTTGAGTAGGGCACACAGAGGTGAGGAGGTCAGGACAGAGTGCAGCTCCCTCTCTGGAGGAGTTTGAATGGTGAGGAGGGAAAGGTGAGGATCTCCCAAAGCAGAACAGGCTTTGTTGTTGTGGAGAGTAGGGGCTGGTGAAGGTGAAGGTGAGAGGTAGGCCGTGAGATCCAGGAAGGGGCTGGCAGCAGGTGAGTCAGTAGGGGCAGGTGGGGTGAAGATCTGCATGGGGATGGCAGCTTCTAGCTCCCTGGGAGATCCGCCAGGGCTGCACGGACACTTACTGCAGTTATCCCAGAGCAGTTAGGTTCCCACTTTTTATCCCCCTGTTTGGTCTTGAGAAGGCCAGGGTGCCTGAGTGGTACTCATTCCGTGTTGTAGGGAGAGCTCAGGCCAAGGAGGTGGAGAGGGAACCAGGGTCCTGGGCTCTGCTGGGTGCTGGCTGCCAGGCAGCCTCCAGGGCCTTTCTGTAGAGGGGGAAGTGTTGGAGATTAAACAGGGGAACAGAGGCCATGAAGTGACACTGATTCTAAGCCCAGGTGGTCTTTCCTGACCCAGGCCTCAAACTTCCTTCCATATGGCGCAGAATTTGGTGTGTTGCTTGATTTGTGGATGGAAGATTTTGAAAGTGGGTTGTGGTTTTATTCCCTGCTGTATTCCTGGCATATCCCCCAAAGCCTGATACAGAGCAGGCACTGAGCAGATGAGTGCCAGTGCCCTGGGGTGACTCCCTCACAGACTTTCCCTTTGCCTGTTGTGTTTTTGGACAGATATTTCCAGGCCTGATTCTGTCAGATATAAAACCGGCAAAAAGGATGAAGTTCAAGACAGTGTGCTACCTGCTGGTGCAGCTCATGCACTGCCGGAAGATGTTCAAGGCTGAGATCCCCTTCTCCAACGTCATGACCTGCGAGGACGATGACAAGGTAGGAGCAGCTGGGAGCCTGGCATGCCCGATCGGACGGCATGACGTCTGTCCTGCCCTCCCACTATGGTCCCCACAGCTTGGTTTACATGTTTATCATCTGGTAAATGCAGCTCAGTGCAGAGCTACCCTTTTCTTCCTGCAGAAAACTTTGCGTTATCTTATCCTCTTTTGCTCCTTGGTGGTTTGTGACTTTGTCCATCATTATGTATTTATCTGTCTGCTCAAGCTGAGTCCCACTGCTGTCTGAGGCCCTCCCAAGGTAGTCGGTCTCGGTGAGCTACCCCCCTCTAGTCTGAGCTGCAGCCCAGGGTTGCTCCAGGCTGGCCCCTTCCCTTGGGAGAGCCCCTCTGGCCTGTCCCACCCCCGTGGCCAGCCTGTCCTCTCTCGCGTCCCACAGAGCTCCTCCTCTCCCGGGGTTCATTCCCTCATTCACATGGACTGTGGCCTCTGACTGGAGGAGGCCAAGGAGATGAGTGCTGGGGCCTGGCGTGGGAAGCCCTCACCCAGAGAGCCTCACAGCCTGTGGCAAGTCAGTCTCTGTTCCTAGGTGGGTGTGGTAGTCAGCGGGGATCCCATAAGGGAGGACCACAGCTGGGGTGGCTTTAACACAGACATTTGTTTCTGGCAGTTCCAGAAGCTGGAAGTCCATGATCAAGGTTGGTTTAGGGTTGATGTCTCCCGAGGACTCTCCCCTTGGCTTGTAGATGGCGTCTTTCCTATGTGCTCACTTGACAGAGAGAGAGGGGGCTCAAGGGGCTCTCCTTCTCTGTGGAAGGGCACTAATCCCATCATGTCCTCATCGAAGCCTGATCACCCCCAGAGGCCCCACACCTCCTGATACCATCACAGTGGGTGCTGAGGCTTCAGCACATGGATTTGGGGACAAACATTTGGTCCATTGCAGTTGGTGGTTATCTTTGACGGTTTGCTTCCTGGTGTTCCCAGCTGCAAGCTCAGTACCATTCCAACTCCTGACCCTTTGATATAAGGCTTTTGTGTCCTGGCTTGCAGGAAGCTTGAGAGGCTGTCCTTAGTACCCAGTGTGCTGAACTTGTACTGTGATGAGCCCTCATTTAGGTCTATTTTTATGCCTCGGGGCAGCAACCCCATGGGCACAGAGGATCTGCCTCTGCAAATATCCAGAAGTTACTGTGTTAATTTCTTTTTCTCCATTTTTCCTTGTTCTGAGACCTTGTTCTGGACCTTCTGAACTAGTCTAATTCTTCTGTCTCTTTCTCCACTTCCTTCACTCTCGGGAAGATTTCTTCACTTTTACCATCCATCCCTTCTACTGAGATTTTCCTCTACAGCCACGTTTAAAACCGTTGTCCCTGAACTTGGTTTCTGAGTATTTGTTTTGTGCCAGCTGTTCTCACCTCGGGGATGTGTCTCCTCTTTTGCCTTTCTGAGCAGCTCTGTCACTCCGTCATCCATAGAGGGCTAATGACCTTTACTGTTTTGTTCCTGGGCAGTTTGGAGCTGACTGAATTGCTGAGTCACGAGGGTGGAGGGTTGCCCCTCCTTCCTCTTGGATCAGGCAGGGTCCCCTGTGTGCGTCTTCTAATCTGCTGAAGGTGGGAGTAGATCCTCATCTGTGATCCTGGGCCAGAGACCCCACCCCAACATACCCACCTGCCAGCCAGTCTTCTCTGGGGCCCGTGGGGGCACTGAGGGTCTCATGCTGCCTCACAGACGGCTCCCGGCCTGCGATGCTGTCCTTCCATCGACCGACCTTCAAACGCTCCCGGCTCTCTCCATGGCCAGCCCAGTTCCTGCCTTCTTCGGTCCGCACCATCAGTGGTGACCAGTTTTCTGTTTTCTGAACTTGCGTTACTGCTTTTCCACTGTGTTTTCTCTGCCTCTATGGGTTTTATGCCTTTTAAAGCAACTTAAGTTATTTTAGTTTTAGAGGCTTCTCAGGAAGAGGTCAAAATCTGCTGATTCTTACTCATAGTGGTTTAGTGTTAAGGAGTTTTTTGTGTATGATTTTGACTATGAGCTCACATTTGATGAAACTTTATCTGGAAAATCTGTCATATACTCTGCGGATGGTATATTCTATCAAAGATTGGTCTCTCTGTCTGCCAGTATCTGGGGGCTACTTTAAATGTTTGGCTTGTGTTTTTAGGTGTCTGTGATAGTTAGACTTTAACCCCCGCTGGGCTGGTGTGTCTGTATTTGGGGGTTGTCCTCCATTCAGCACTTGGCCCAAGACAGGTAAGCCTCCTCCTCTCCTGTTGTGAGAGGTGATTCCCTGGCCATTGTTTGCTGAGAATGGAGCTTCTCAGAGCCTAGGATTTTCAAAAGGCTTTGATCTCAGTCAGTTCTGTGAGAGCCTCCCTTAAAAATGCAGCAATTCTGAAGCTGAGTTTGCAGCTGTCCTCAGGGCAGCCAGTGGCTCCCTGGTGAGCCAGTGACAGCATTCCTGTCCTGTCTGGGCTGCCCTGTGCCTCTAATCATCTCTTGTACTTTCCTGCCAGTCCAGTTATGCATTTTAAAATATGTGTGTTTTAATATTTCCAGTTAGATTTAGTAACGGGAGGATTTTTAGGCTCTCTTGTTTGCCGTATTACCAAAAGCAAAATAAATTAATAGGATTTAATTGCTATCTTTTTCCCATAGCTCCCAGAACCACAACAAACTCTACCCCAAACCACAGGGTGGGCAAAGGTAAGGCGTGCCAGGTGCAGTTAAAGTGCATGCCCAAGACTGAGGCATCAAGATAAATACTATTTTCAAGAAATATTTTTTAAAAATCAAAGTTAATCCTAAAGAACCCATGTTGGACTAAAAATCAATTCATGATGGGCCAGAAATTTAAAAAAAAAATCAGAATTTTTTAAAAATGCAGGAGAATACAGAGACGTTGTAGATGCTGATGCAAAAGGGGATATTGGGAATCGGGGCTACTCTGCACCCAAGACTTCCACAGCGGTTGAGATGGGGGTGCAGAATCACTTTTACTTCAAATGCTAAGGAGAACAGGTGTGATAAGACTTAAGAATCCAGGCATTTCCCTGGGCACAGTGTGTCAGCCTCTCACTCACATATTCAAACTCTGTTTGACTAACCAACGCAGGGCGCCTCCTCCCTATCCCTGTCCCTGGAGACAGCAGCATATAGGGGCAGCATCTGCAGGTGGCTGCATGCTCAGGTCTCAGGAGGGCAGCAGCATATGGGGGCAGCATCTGCAGGTGGCTGCATGCTCAGGTCTCGGGGGGGGCAGCATCTGCAACTGGCTGCATGCTCAGGTCTCAGGGTGGGCAGCAGCATATGGGGGCAGCATCTGCAGGTGGCTGCATG